GGAGTTCCAAACTTATTTCTATTTAACCCAGATATCTATGCCTTAAGCAACTTAGCTCAGGTCCAACTCTCTTCCTTAGTAACAATACTCCAAAAAAACTTAAACCATCATAGTTTTGACTTCTCATTCCTGAAGCTATGACTACAACAATTACAAGACTCAGCTCTTACGAATACCCCTATTCTCACTCAACTTCTAGTCTTTTCAGTTTCACAACTAAATACACAAACTAGCCAAATGGTGCTCACACTTCATGCTTTAAATTTACAAACTTCATGAAATGGTAACAACTGGTCTTATTCCAAAACCTTTACTGGAACCTCAATAAACCAAATTCTGCTAAATCATCCTAGAGCTTCTTATCTCAAAGAAAAACTAAACAATCATAACATCTCTAACATAAAACAATTTCTAAATGCAATTAACTCAGAGCTTCTAGAATGGAACAATTTTCATCATAACATTAAAAAGATACCAAGAGGACACTGTCCAAACTAGTTTCTTATAGTTTAAGACTTAATAGCAGCCTCTATTAATCCTTCATCAACATTCCTACATATAAACCCTTATACTTTGTCTCAATGGAACCCTAAAGAGAAAGGCTAGATAATTACAGATAATTCTATTATTAGCAAGATACATAATCCTCACAACAAAGTTCTCAAAGCTTGACATTACATCCTAAAGCCAGATAACACAATATCAGTATGCACAGGCTGTAAACTAAGGAATCAATTATATCATTCCAAGCATTGCTACTTTAATGTAACAACATCATTATACAACCTGCAGGTCAACTGCAAAAAGAAAATCCACCTAGATATTGTAGATTTTAAAAGAGCACTAAACTATGCTAAATCAATAACTATAACCCAAGAGCAATAACAAGACGTAAATCCAATATTAGAAAGACCTTTATGTTCTTTTGAAAACCCTCCAATTAACCTCTGAAAAACATTAACAGAAGCTAACTTTAATATAAAAACATTAATAATTTACTTAACCTCCAACTGATAAACAGTAAACAACAACTCTCAAATAATAGCAAAATGCTATATACAAAATACCAACATCTGTTTTGGTTGCTTTACTAACTAATGGCCTTTACATATAAGCATGATGCTTAATTTGCTAAACTTTATCCTTACTATAGTCAATTCATATACAGAAGTAAACATCTGTACAGACAATCCTACCTTCACTATGTATATTAATTTGATAACCTTTATTAAGCCTCATAACTATTTTGTAATTGACAAACAGCAGCACACATATCTTCTCCTAATTCTAAAAGCACTCTCATATAATCAGAAACTCAATATTACACTAAATGAAAATATAAAAATCAAAGAAACTACAAGCATAATTTTCCCACTAGACCCAGCATTACAACATTTTCTATACAACCATTTTGTTCCAAGACTTCTTAACAAACCATGCTGATATCTGTTAAAAACTACTCTAAAACATATCTATCAAATTACAAACCAGCTGTCATGGTTTTGTCAACAATGGATCTCAAGCTGGCATATATCACAAAACAATATTGATTGAACTTCTATACTAAAATATATTTCTTTTAGAGAAAAACTACTAGCTTTAAATACTGATCTATTATCCTCAGCAATCAAAAATTTCAAGATTAAACTGTTATCTGAAGAACTTCCAACTTACTTACTACTGCATTGGAGAAATAAGAAAAAATATCCAAACCACTTATGTCCAAGATGTCACAGTGCCTCTGAGGATATTGTCCATCTACTAACTTGCATTCAAAATCACATATGGTTTTCAATCCTTGTTAGACAAACAGTATATGAAACTTCATGAAAATTGGAAATACCATGTTTGCACTTAGATGCTTTTGTAAAGCATTTGTTACTACACATATAACTAAGCAAATATCACTAGAACTCATTACTAGAATTATTTTAGCACCTTTTGATACAAACAGCCATAGGCACAAATACGCTCTACTAATACATCATAACATTATTACAGAAATATACAAAACAATTTGCTAGTCTCTAGAAAGACAAGTCATGATTCAATTCTTCCAAACCCAGCCCCAATACAGACTCCAATACTAAACAAAACTAAGCCTTTGGCCTCATCTTTTCTAGAAAGAAAACTAGTAAAATACACAAACAATGGACTAACTTCTTTAATGCACCTTCTCGAAGACTAGAGGTTTAATGACCATTCTAGCAAAAAATAGATCGAGAATAAAGTAGCTCTAACCTCCATCTTCTATAATATAGTTTTTTCAAATGTATTTATCTTATATATGTATAATTGATTATAAATAAAAGAAATAGAAGATAGATCTCTCTTTAAAAAAAATTAAAAAAGTAAATAATAACAAGTATTTAAATTACTTAAAAAAATTTGGTACTATATCTATTCTAACTTTAGCAAAAGATTTATATTTGATATTAATAAATATTTGATATTATTTATATTGTAGACAATAACTAATTATTGTTAAGATATAATGCAAAATATATACTATAAAGTAATACATATTTTATATTATAAATTTAGATAATAATTAAATTTATTATTGCAGTTTAACTAATAACACTTTTATTTATAATGTTTAAAATAAGTACTATTATTTTTTATATATATTAATTACCTTTTAATTATTTAAATTTTACAAAAAACTCTTTCTTATAGATCTCAAAACAATATGTAAACAAAAAGAAAAATCATAAAAACCTAACTAACTAAAGTATAAAATAATAATACTAACTGCAAAATAATTTGCAATCTTCTATATACTAACTTAAAACAAACTAAAATACATCAGTATAGGAAAAAAAAGAAAATGCAAACCTTATACTAAAAACAAAGAAAATATTTCAAGACTATTAGGGCCCATAGCCATCTTTATCTTTATAGCAACACAAATTCTCAATATGCAGAACAGCCATAAATATCTTATTAAACAACAAAGATAACCTTAACACAAATAAGCTTTCTACAACTGACTTAACAAAAATGACAAAGATACTACAAACAAGCATCAAAAGACCTTAATATCATTACTAAAACAAAACAACAAAAGTAGGAAAAGTAGCTTACCTTTATCTAATAGTTATATAACTGCATATACAATTAATTACAACAATAATACAACAAAACAAACAGGTTCAACTAATAAAAAAATCAGTTTTGTAGGTAACAACAACAACTATATAACAATTATACAAAACAACAATTTTTATATTATTATAAGTAATATACAAACACAAGCATATAGTCCTAAAATAGAAATTAAACATGCAGCATAGCAAACTTTAGAACTAATTGATATCAATTACCAAACTGAGCTTTTTCAAACAGAAATGCATTCTGACTAAAACATAGAAACTAAGTTTGTTAATACAATACTAAGTACTAGAAACTTAATAAAGAATTATATACAAACCAGATGCATATACAGCCAGGCAGTTAAAAATAGAACAACTGCAGACACAAATTCAGAAAGTAATACAGATTATATGCAATTATGAACAAAACAACTAAACCAAAATATAGATGAAAAAATATTAAAATATTTTGATTTAACACTTTGAAATTACCAACCTACTATAGAAGTTTTTCAATCAAAAAGAAATTACAAAAACTTATTATATATAAATTCAAAACTAAATCTGTACAATAATTATTATTATATGCAATTAAATTTAAATTTAAATATACTGACTGCATCTTCTTTATTATATTTACAAGAGCCAAACATTTTATATTCTAATATTAAAAAGAATATAAAAACCTATTCACAAATGCAATACAAAAATACAAAACTGAAAACAAAATAACCATTACTGACAAACAAATGAGTAACAAGATATATCTCAAACTCGACAAAAACTGTATATTGACCATATTGCTAACATGAATTTTAATACATGCTTACAAAAACATATCTATCAACTACTAATATACTATAAAGACTTTACAAAGATAAGAAAGCAATAAACAAAGAAGATATACAAGAAGCAATTGTGAAGGCAACAAAAAGTAAACTACAAATGTTTTTTAATATACCAATAAGAATCTTAGACAAAATAAAAGCCATCCTACTATTTAAACTTCTAATAAAATTTAAGGCACAAACAAAAGCTGTAGTTACAGCATTACACAGAGTATTTGAATTTAAAAAGCTACCATCTAACTACTTTATTGTACTTCTACTGCTATTGCATAATATAGAAGATTTAGATTACAGAATTAAACATCTTTTTCTAATAACAAAAAGAAGAAAACTAAAAAGACTTGCATACTATAAAAATTGCTTATAAAAAGTATACTGCTTCAATAAAATTTTAGATTACTTTTTTAACTTACCTCTAATAATGCCAGAAAAACCAGCACTTTTATCTGCATACCAAGATATAAAAGATCTATAACTAAAAGCATGCTTCTTAATAGACAGAGCCAACCAAGATACTAATATACAAAATATCATTACAAGACTTAGAAAATACTATACTTTTAAGGGGTATGGCAACCTAGTAAAGTAGTCAGATTGTCAACCCTCCAAGTTGTAAGTTGGGTATTCAAATCCCATCAATGGCAAAAATTTGGATAATCACCTATATAATATTTATATTATGACAACTGTTATTAACAATTAGGTTAGAATACCTGTAATGGCAGTTACACCAGCATGACTGGCAGGTAATAGAGCATCTGTATAAGTATAGCATTACACAGAGGAATGCAAACTGACAAATCAGACAGTGCAAATACTAAATAAGTCCTTGTAGCCATGTAAATCTGTTAAAATTAGGTAACAAGAAGTCTATTTGAGAAGATCTGAGTAGAGAGGTAGCTGGATCTTCGACAGCCCTACTGTAAAGGTTAGCCTGGGAAAATGGATACTAAGGTAGTAGTATCTGGTTGTAGTAGCCAGACAGGCAAGAACCTCCAGGTTAGAAGTCTCAGGGGTACTACTAACCAAAGACCTATAAAATTTTAGTTTTAAAAATTCAAAATTTTTTCTAACAACAAAAATTTTAAACAAATTTTAGTATAAATTTAACAAATTTTAAATAAATTTTGATTTAAATTTAATAAATTTTAAATAAATTTTGATTTAAATTTAATAAATTTTAGATAAATTTTATTTAAATTTAATAAATTTTAATTTAAAATTAAAAAATTATGATATTTCATTCTTTTGTTTTATTAAAATACAACATCGTAAGCATTTTTAATAATTTAGTACTTAAATTTTGCTGATTGTCTTGAAGAATATTATTATAAGCAGAAAAGCTATGCTCAACTGCACAAGATGAGATTGGCAACCAAATATAATCAAGAGTTATTTGGTATAAAAGAGGAAGTTGAGAAGAAATTTTATTCCAAAAAATATCTAATGTAGTAAAATTAATAAGATTTAAATCTAAATTACAATAAAGTGACTATTCAGAAAAAAGTTCTGTAAAAGGTTGAAATAATTCAGGAATATCATTAGTATAATTATATAAATTACGATTTGTTATAGCAAGAGAAATGAATTTAGGATAAAAAATTTGTATACTTTTAAATAAAGAATAACAAGAATGATTTAAAAAATGAACATCAAATTTTTTTAAAGCAGCTTTAAAAGCATCTTGAAATACAGGAGAAAAATATGTATTTTGAGTTTGATATTTGTTAAAACAAACATTAATTTCTTCATTAAATTGTGAATTTGTAGTTCCAGATTTAAGAAAAATTTCTAAATACTGAATATATTGCTCAATAAAAGGAAAAATTGGTTAATATTCAGATTGAAAATAATCAAGTATTGAAATAAAAAATGGTGTATAACTTTTAATAAAGGTAAGATAAATTTCTAAATATGCATTTTCATTAAAGCATTAAAAAATGAAACAATTTTATTAATAGTTTCATTCATTTCAATTTCATTTTCTTCTTTACAAAAACCCTGAATATATTCCAAATAATTGCAAACATAAATTGCTGTTTCAAGCCAGAAATTCCAATATATACTAATAAGTAATAGTATAAATTGTAGAGTAATTTGATTTTTAATTAAATTAGACTCTAATTGATTATATTCTTTTACACTATATTATTTTAAATAAATAATATATCTATTATGACAATTTTTAGAATGTAAAAAAAATTTTTTAAGATTTGATATTAATTTTTTTACATTATCAAAGTCTTCATTTGATAACTATGCTTCACTAAATATATATAATTTAATTATTAGATTTAGTATTAATATATATATATTGTCACAGCTGATGCTGAATTTGGCTGATGCTGAAGTTCACGTAATAAATCCAGGCCGGAGGTGTAGATCATATCATAGAAAATGACATCATAAATTCCGATTTCCGAACAACAGATTTGTGTAATATAGATAGGCTTTATCACATATCATGTGACCATATTACATGAAGACTAAAAAATACGCTTTTTTTTTATTAAAACTTAGCATCACCAAATTAAAAAATTTCGTTAAAGACATTTTACAGGTAAACTAAGGTTAGAGTTGGAATAGAAAAAGCTTTAATAATACCAAAATATCACAAGCAAAACTTTTTGTTAGTTCACAGAAAGCAATCTTATAGGTAAAATGTTGTGAACGATTTTTTAATTTTTGCGTTTATACTGCGTTACACCTAATCTTAAAATCTGATTGCCGGAGAAATAGTAGTGATGGTTATTTTTATGTCACATGAACATGGAAAATGTGCATATTGTATAAAAGTACTACTGTACTAATGCGAAAATCTACCAAACCCTAACCTTAACTTGTTTTTTAATTCTAATTATACGATTCATTTAACATTCTTACATCAAAATTGAAAATATTATAGATCTGGAGAAAAAGATCACGAGTGGTAAATATGTACCTTCAGCAAATTTCAAATATGACACTGCATTTTTTTTCATGATCTCACCAGTGCTTAAGCCCAAGCACATATCATAATATCTGGGGCTTGTTTTGTGTACACTATTTTTTTTTTTTTTTTTTTTTTTTTTTTTTTTTTTATACGACTTTGATTCTACTAACAGGAACTTGAATCTTCTTTCCGTTCACTTCCACGATTGCTATATGGTTGTTAGATGCCAGTGCTTTGAACACACCTTGTTGTGAAAAAGTTGGCTGGAGTTTTCACTTTCGAGTTTTTTGATTTGTATCATGGTCTGGTGCAATAACGATTGTGGTCCCAGCCTTAATTATATTGTTTGGTGACTTGTTTTTATGAACACTACCTTGATTACATAGCTTAGCACGATATTTATCCAGTGATGTGTTAACTGATTGTTGAACTTGCAGTACCCGTGAAACATGCTGGTCAACAATCTCTGATGTGACAACATTATTTTTGCACTCATACTCTTCGAAGATATCTGGTGATTTTTCGGAAGTATCATAAACACATCGCATTTTCCAACTGAATATTACTTTGTGTGGTGTGCGATCATGTGCTTCATGTGTGGAGGAGTTATATGACACAACAAAGGCATCAACAACACTAATTTAATCTTTACGTTGCAACTGACCATTTTTATCCTATAACATTTTGATAAAGTCACGACCAACAGTCTGGTTAAGACGTTCAACCTGACCTTGCGACTGCAGATGATGGGGGCGACCATACCTGATAGTAATACCAAGAGTCCCACATATTTGGGTAAAAATTTGTGTGACAAACTCCTTGCCATTGTCACTTTGAAGAATAGTAGGGGGGCCCAGAATTCTAAAAACATTCTTGACAAGATGATTTGCAACAGTAATAGACTCCTTGTTTTTTAGGGGAACAGCTACAAGAAACTTTGAAAATACACAGACACATGTAAGTAACTATGCAAAACCCTCATTCACATCTATAAAATCATGAAAATCAATAAGATCGATCTGAATGTGTTTCTACGATGCCACAGATACTACTGGAATCATGTCGGTTTTTTCTTTGAGGTAAGTATTTACTGCACAAGACACACATTCGTTAACATATGCCTAACTTCCTTCTGCGTAATTCCAATATGGTGTTTTGAAATTGCGAAGAACGTCTTGTGATAGCTACGATGGTTGGCTTGATTGTGAAAATGCTGTAATATCAGGGTACGTAATTCTTGATCATACTTTGGCACCACATGGTATTTTTCAGATATAATGACACCATCCTTTATGATGGCAGGAATGTATAAGACCTTATTTTTATCTAACACAAACTTCTTGCATCGACAAATAAAGGTTGTTTTGGTGCACTTTCTTAGAACATCTTCGGGTATTGTTTCTAAATGAAGATATTCTACAAGTGCTTGGTATTTGGCTCCCGTCTCAGGAATTTTTGGGATTGCTAGCATAAGTATATAAAAAAAAAAAAAATTTTTCAAAAAAAAAATAAAATTTCAAAAAACAAAAAAAAAGCTTTTCAAAAAAAATGGCTTTTCAAATAAAAAAGTTTTGAAAAACTTGTAAAAGTGTTGGATAAGTAGAATGAATAGGTGAACAAACGGGCGAATGAGTGAATGTATAAAAAAAAATCCTTGAGAATTTTTATGCACAATGTGCATTACAGATAACAATGGGAAATATGTATGTACGATCTGAACTTCTGGCCTGGCACATAACGTGAAAATCACATTTTAAAAAATCGCCATTAAACTTGAATTTTATCTATAAAACTTCCTTCTGTGTTCTAATAAAAAAATCCATTGTGAAAATTTAATATAAGTTATGCCCTTTCTCATCCTTAATCTTAACCCTAGAGATGATGCTTATTACTTCGCTTAATTTGATTGTTTGGATTTTACATTACACTTAATACTTCATTATAATTGGCTAAAGACCAGTATCACCGTCAAAATTTTCACTTTCAAGTGACAGCGTTTAAATATCTTTAAATTCATTTAAGTTAGAGTTAGCATTCATAATTGGCTAGGTTTTAAAATGTTAATAGTAAAATCACTCAAGAAATTTTTTTTGTTAGAGCACAAAAGGTGGTTTCATATGCAAGTTTTGAGAAATAAGTGATTTTTGAAAAGCGGACGTTTTGTTTTGCTCTTTTTGATCGTGTAATGTTACATTAAAACAAAACTCGCTGTTGGATGATCGTCACATGAAAGTGTCACATGCAAATATACTTACGTATATGCAAATCATATGATCTGGTATATACTATAGACCGGCAGGGCTACTAATGTCTTCCAGTACAGATTTATCACATGAACTTCAGCATCAGCCAAATTCAGTATCAGCCATGACAATATATATCCAAAGAGCATACTGGGCCATTAATAGTGTACACAATGAGATATTCCTTAATCAAGCAGGTAAAATATATATTATACCTGATAGAGAAGACAAAATCATTACTATGCTAACTGAACAGAATCCAAATGAGATTGCACTACTAAGATTAACAAGAGAGTTAATAAGAAAAGCAGAAATAGAGCAGTCAGCAAAAAAGCTAAACATAGTAGAACAAAGTAATTATGTAATAATAATAGAACTAGCCTTAGAACAAACAGATGATACATTGAAAGAGCAACTTTAACTAATAAAACTAGAATTAATTCAAAAGACTAGACAAGAGCCCATATTAGAAGTAGATATAAAAGAAGGCAGGCAGCATGAAGAAAAAATACAACAAACTAACTTAGCAGCTCAACAAGAAGAAATTACAAAGAAAACGAGTCTAAATGCAAATTGGAAAGAATCAAAACTTAGCATAGCAACAGAAAAGACAGAAGCATAATACAAAACAAAACAAGAATTCGAAAAGAAATCAATATAGTAGGAGAACCACTAGAGGAGAGTATGTGGGCATCAAACAAAAGAGATTGCAACCAAAATAACAGTCTACTCGCCAACATACCAGTACATAACATGTCAGAAACAATGAAAGAAGAATGTACAAAATTCATCAAATGGTCACTAAAAAACAATAAACATGTTAAAGCTATTAAAGAAGTCTTCAAAAGAAGTAACTTGTGAATAGAGGTAGAGTTCGATTGTGAATATGACAGAAATGAAGCAATTCAAAGAATCAGCAGGAAAGAAAGTGATTGGTATAAACTAATACTAGAAGAACAGAAAGGCACAAAAGGAAAACAAAGATTATACAAAGAAGAATACTGCAAAAAAAGAAATAGCATAATGAAAAAGGAGAAAGAGACATATAACAAGGAAGAAACTGAGACAAAAGATGACACAAATGACTACAAATTGGATAAGAAATCTAGTGTTAAAGTATACATAACAATATGGGACTTGTCAATAAACATTAATAGAAGAGAGCTAGAATATATCTGCAGAAGATTTAAAAGTACCCAAATAATAAGAATCCAAAGATCAAAATATAAGGCACTCGCAATCATGCAGATAGAAGAAGGCAAAAGAGAAAACATCCTATGGGCCATACCAGTTAACAATAATAAACTAGTACGAATAACTAGAGAAGAAGAAAACCATAAAGCAAAAGAAAAACAGAGAAAATATATGGCAAAGTTAACTGAACTATCCAGAAATGTCTTAGAAGTCTTACTACTATGGTGTTTAAGAAACAAAGGTGTTAAGTCAGTTTACATCTCTCCAAATAGAAATAGAAACCAGAAAAGAACAGCAATAGTAATGTTCGCAACAGAAAAAGACATAAATGCAGCCCAAACAAAACCAATTTTGTATAATAATTTTAGAGTTTACTGGATTAATAAAGAGAAACAGAGATGAGAAAAAGAGAAAATTATAAAGTAGAAAGAGGAAGAAGTTGGGACAGATTTAGCCAAACCTTGAATGCAGAAGAGGATAAAAGCAACAAAGAGTGACAAAGAAATAAGACTTATGTGAACAAAAATAGGTACTGAAGAGGTATAGGCCATAAAAGTACCTCACTAAAAGAAAGAAATAAATCCCAAAACTAGTATAAAAGGAATCAAAAAAGAGACACAAATACAAAAAATAGAAAAAAAAAAATCATGAAAGAAAAACAGAAGAAGCCAAGACACAAAAACAAGAAAATGAGTTATATATAAAGAACTTCTTAGAGCAAATCTGAAAGTGACTAGAAAGACTAAAGAAAACAAAGGATATAGCTAGAGACAGCCTAGTGAATCACTCCTAAGGGCACCATAGTTGAACCCACAAACATAAATGAGGAGATTAGAAAATTTTTATATAGCGAAAGAAGAGCTTTCGAAGAAAGAAGTAGAGACAAGTCTCCTAATTCAAGAGAAGAAATAAAAAGAAAGAGAAAAGAGAAGGTAGAAAACACAGAAACAAGATACAAGAGTTTAAAAGAAGCATGGAAAAAGGAAAAAAAGAAATAAAAATAGCTTGTCACAATGTTAATGGACTTAAGACTAAAGGTTGGAAATTAGAAAACTTGCTAGATTGGGCAGAAGAAGAAAAAACAGTGATTTTGGGCATAATTAAAACAAACATCACAGAAAAAAAAGAGAAAATTCTGTTACATAACCTTAATTCAAAATTTAAAGGTTATTGGTCAAGTGTGGTTTTGAACAAAAAGAAAGGATTAGACATTAGGATTTTGATAGATGAAGCTTGGGAAAAACATGTCAGAGCAGTTAAAAGATTCAGTAAATATATGATAGAAATAAGACTATACTTTAAACAATTAGTACTAATAGTAGTAGGTGTATATATCCCACTAAATGACAAACTGATCAATAAGAAAATACAGCAAAAAATCATAGAAATAGTATCAAATAGAAGAAAGAACACAGAAGTAATTATACTTGGAAATTTCAATTACACAGTGAACAATATACTAGACAGACTAAATCCACAAACAACAGAATACAAAAGACTACCAATCTTCAATTGGCTTAAGAGACAAGATTT